CACATGCCCTTGAGACAAAGGAAAAGGCTAACCATAAAAGTTAAATTTACACAGGGCAGCCCACCCGCCTGGCCAGGGGGAAGTAACCCTTATAGAACAATTGTCTTTGTTAACAAAAGGTTAAAGTGTTCCTTTGAATACTTCCTACCCCTCCCTAATTCCTGCACCTGACTTACGCTGACAAGCATTTGTGGAATGCGACTGATGACTGATGGAAAATTATAGCTTTGTCTTTACCGTATTTGGTGTATATTTGAGTTGAGACTTGATTGACATGCTTGTACCACCCCCTGAGAGTTTTTCTCTATAAGTACCAGCTCGCCCCGAAAATAAACGCTCTTGATCAGCGAACGTTGTCTTGAGCCTGTTTTCCTTTAACCTCTTGAAGTTTACTTTTAAGATCAGATCTGCTCGTGGAGGCCCACCAAATTAGTAGAGACCCTCATCACCTCATCCCCGCGGGTCGGGGGTCCCTTCCGGGGGTCGCAGAGTTCAAGTGCATTTCTGGGAGAATGGCATGTGGGAACTCACTAAAACAAAATAAACCTAGCACACATACAACTCAAAGAAACTTAGCAGAGGAAAGGACACACATCTACACAGTGAGAGACAAGGAGGTGGTTGAGACAAGAGAGTCTAGTGGAGGAACTTCATAAGGTGGTGAAAGGGCTTGGAGCTGGACTTCTAAATAAGAAAACCAAGGACTTTTAGTTTGATTTTTTTTTTGTAAATTTTGTGCTTGAGAAAAAAATGCATCAATTTCACTCCTCCCTTTTTCCATTACAACTCTTCCTGTGCTCCCATTCCCTCTCAAACTCATGGATGATCCCTTCTCTATTATTATGACACATACACACTCAATTTTTATTCATAAACAATATATATTTTATATTACAAATATAATACCTAATTGTCACATATATACAATACATATACTACATACCACATATATATGTATGTGTGTATATATATATAGAGAGAGAGAGAGAGACAGATAAATAGATAGATGATAGATAGATAGATAGATAGATAGATAGATAGATAGATAGATGGATAGATAGATTATGCATCCTACCTTCTCTCAGTGCTTTACCTATGGGTGGGACCTTATAAAATTTCTCCCACCCATATTAGCTTGTCAACTGGTTCTGTCATTATGTTGGAAACCAAATTATAATTGATGCCCATAAAAATATGAAGAGAATAATTCACAAAGGCAGAACTTTATTGAAAAGTCAAAAGTATGAGAAACATTAAAAATCATGGGATGCTTGAACTGGCTAGATGTGGCCATTTACTACTTTAATTAGTTTCTGTTTTCTCCTCTCCAGTAAAGTATATGGAAAATATTTGCATAATGTAGCAACAAAGGAAAAAAGAAAGACAATTTATGTGTTTGAGTTTCTCAACACTTTCACTCATGAAGTAATAAATTAACATACCTCTTAGCTGCAAACTAAAAGAAAATTAGGGTCAGATATATAACTTGGTAGAAGAAAAGAGACCATTTTTACAAACCACCTTCATCATTAAGGCCACTAGAAAACATTCTTATATTAAGAACTATTCTCTACCCATTGTCACCATGTGAATAATTCACATCTGGGACAAGAGAAGTTGCTTGAAGAAGGCTAATTGGAGATCCTCATCATAACAGCTGCATAGAAGTTTAATATGCTTCCCAGAAATTGAATGTTTTCAGTGGAGATTTTGTTCCATTGAAAAAGGGCACCCAATGAAAAAACAATTCTCTGACATTTCCAGGCAGAATATTTCACAACGCCAATAACCTGGAAAAAATTCCCCCAAATACATTTGATATCATTATTCAATGTGTCAGCTTTCTCAGCTAACAAAGAAAAAAGTAGTTTCTACATTGATTTGAGTTCCTGTAGCCAAGACTAAACTGTAGATGGATGTTTCTGTCCCACCTAGTCCCACAACCCCAAATAAACACACAGAGACTTACATTATTATAAACTGTTTGGCCAATAGCTCAGGTTTCCTTTTTGGCTAGCTCTTTCTTAATTATTAACCCATTTCTATTAATCTATGCATCTCCACTTTGTCTTGGCTTACCAGCTCCCTTGGCAGCTGCAGGGCATCTCTCTGGCAGCTCTTCTCTGTCTTCCTCTTCCTAGCATTCCCCTAGTCTGGTAGCCCCACCTATACTTCCTGCCTGGATACTGACCAATCATCATTTATTCCTCAACCCATAAGAGAAACATATTCACAGCATACAGAAAGATACCACCATCACAAAACACTTTCCCCTTCTTAGTAAATATTCTCATTTACTAAGGATAAATGGGGGATTTGTGTGGCATTTATCTCTAAGGTCATAAGGTTTATTCAATTTTTAATTAGATATATTATTTTCAAGGCAGGAGCCTACTCCACAGAGTTTGAAAGACTGTGTGAGAATTGATTGCCTTTTTCTAAAAGAGAAAGTTTTCAAGAGAAACTGATCATATAGCTTTAGGAAGCAGGGTAGGTGCTCACAAAAGAAAGTGCTGTGAGTTGGAAATGGACTCCCCATGAGATGTGGGGAGGAACATTTTAAATCAGTGACTCAGTTTCCTCATCTAGAAATGAAAACTTTAGATTGGTGAAATATTTATCAATTACTAAAATAGTAGTAAGCTCTAAAGATTAAATAAAATAACATAAAAGAATAAAGAGGGGGCTGAAGGTGGCTCAACAGTTAAGCCCATTGGCGTTCTGCTCTTCTAGAGGTCCTAAGTTCAGTTTCCAGCAATCACATGGTGGCTTACAAACCATCTTTAATGGGATGGAATGCCCTCTTCTGGTGTAAAGGCATACGTATAGACAAAACATTCACATAGGTGAAGAAATAAACTAGAAGAAGAATAACAATACGAACAAGAAGAAGAGAAAAGAGAGGAGGAAGAATGGAAGCCTTAAGTTGTAACTATTACTTAGTATGCCAAAGAAAAATTTGCCAAGCACCCAAATTTCTCTTTTGCTCTATAACTTTATTTGTTTATTTTATATATTTGTAATTGCATCTCTTAGAAATGCAGTTTTATTTTTATTTTTTAATTTTATTTCAATTAGAAGCAATCTTATTTTACATACCAAGCCCAGTTCCCTCTGCCTCCCATCCTCCCATCCTCCCATGCTCCCCACAAACCCCCCATTGTATCCCCCATCCACTCCCAGGGAGGGTGAGGCCTTCTATGAGGGATCATCAAAATCTGTCAAGTAATTTGGGGCAGGGCCTAGGTCCTCCCCTGTGTATCTAGGCTGAGACAGTATCCCTCCATGGGAAATGGGCTCCCAAAGTCTGTTCCTTCAGTAGGGATACATCCTGGTGTAGAGGCACCATAGACTGCCCAGTACACCCACATTTTGAGAAGCATGATATTCATGAGCAGCTAACCGTGCAAAGTTGATAGAACTGCATTTGTGAACATGTAGGTACTGTAAATGCAAAGGTTTTTGAGTCAGTGAGAAGCTAAACTGGGTCCCCTCACCTTCAGGTCCAGAAAAATCAGTGAAGCCTGACAAACAGAATGACCATCAAGCTTCAAGATAAAATAAAGAGTTTGTGGGTTTCTTCAAATAGTTGGAAAGCTTCTAGAAGGATAATTGGGGAAATGAAATGAGTAATTGCCTTTTAGAAAGTTCATTTTGGCTACTGTATGGGGGGTAAGAAGCGAGACATGGTAGTCGCTGTGGGAGGTGGGCGAGTACTCCATTTTGAAAGGTATTATAGTCTTTTTTCTATAGCTTCTATTTTCTGAGTAAGTTAAAGTCAATGTTGGCCTTTGGTAAGTTAGAAGAAGGTGTTGATGGGACTATGGCCAATGAGTGGAAACATGACCAACTATGAAGGTAACGCTAAGACTGTGGGGTGAGGAGACCTAAAGCTATGGCCCCAAGTTTCACTGAAGGCAGGACCATGTTGTATTTTTATCCTGCTGTACTTTGCTCTTGAGACAGACATCAGGTTTACCTGGAGATAGAGTGTCACTGAGTATGGTGCATTGGCATGGGAAATGAGCAACTTCCCTGCAGGACTCTGAAACCTAATCCTGGCAGAATGAGTGGGGGCACGACACTGCATGGGTAGTGAAGCATGATTGTTAGTGAATGGGGCCCCTAACTCACCAAATCCCCCCCCAGCAGCAATAAGAAAAGCAAGTTGAATAGTAGGCTGGGGATTCAAAGTCATGTGGTTGATAAAGAGACTTTGGAGGTGTTAGAAATGACCTAGAATAGACAGTCACTCAAGTGGGTGATCATCTCTATGTGTTACTTTGTGTTCATTCAGTCTTTCTTCTTTATCGGTAACCCTAGTGGTTGCCAAAAGAATTACAAAGTTGAGACCAACCTTGATCACTGCCAATTAAGGAAAGAGCTTCTCTTTGACCTCAGTGTTTGAAGTCAGGCTTCCATGGTTATAGCTGTGATTCCCACACTGTGCTAGGGACTAAGACTGAGATTAGAGAGAGGGGGAAGATGGGAGAGAGAATGGAAGAAGAGAGAGGGGAAACCGCTGTCACAAAGCAAAGCAAGTGAATACATTTACTTTTTAAAAAAAGTGAGTGAGGTTAAACTCTTTCCTGGCTTTTGGGGCTCCTGATGAGCCCCCTTCACCTGGTCACTTCGGGTGCAGGATGCACTCACTTCGTTCCCCAACTGATCCAAGCTTTTCTCGGTGCTTCCCTTCAAGTCTCCTCCCTAGAGATCCTCAGACTGGGTATCTAGCTTGGGTAGCTGCAGGCTCCCAGTGTATTCCCTCTAAGGCCTACTTGTCACTATGAAGTCCGAGTTTTAATTCTGGACAGCTTTCTTTGCTATGGTTCTTGGTGTCGTGCAGGTTTCTGCTCTCCAGGAAGCCAAGAGGAACACCAGATAGGAGACCATCTGATACTAGGTGCCTGGCTTCTCAGCCTAGCTTCTGCAGAAACCAGGAGTGCTTCCCCTTCCCACCCCCACTCCCCCACCCTTCTATTCTTGACGTCAAGCTCCAACAGACAGCAGAGGAGCCTTCTGCCTGGGAAGAGCCCAGGGAGAGTGACAGGGAGGGGAAGCCATAGCAGCAACAGCTTGGAGGAGGGAAGTAACTCTCCCTTGCCAGCACAACCTGGGCGAAAGGAACGCAGTGCTAAAGGAGACCTGCGGGCTCAGGGAGCCGCGGGGTTACTGCAAAGAGGGGCGGGGAGAAGGCGGAGGCGCTGCATGCAGTGCGCTGGCTCCAGAGGTGCCCGCGGGGAATGTGACATCAGCGGGGCCCGGAGCTTGCGGCTGGAGCAGGCAGCTAGCCTCGGCTGCGCGGTGCACACCTCGCCCGGGGGAGGACACAGAGCCAGGCAGGCGGCCGGGATGTCGGCGAAGGAGAGGCCAAAGGGCAAAGTGATCAAGGACAGCGTCACCCTCCTGCCCTGTTTTTATTTCGTCGAGGTGAGTTGGCCCAGGGCCCTGGCATAATGCAGATCTTTCCGGACAGCTCCGGAGAGAATTTGGGTCCTGGGTAAGATTGGTGAGCACACCGGACAGAGCACCAGGACGTATTCTGCTACTGTCACCAAATGCTGGACCCTCTCCCTTTCCCCCTACAGGTTTTTCTCCAGATCTCCCCTGAGTCTGCCTGTAGACACCTGCCAGCACCCTCGGGTTACCACTAGGGATGGCTTGCTGGATGGCCTTCAGGGAAGGGATACCTGTGAGAGTATAGGTCTAGTTTGGCCCTGTAGTCACAGTGTGCACAGCGTCCATAAGTGCCCCGCAGGGGCCATGATGCCTATATTTTGGAATTTGTGATTTTCAGTTTGTTGATGGTATCCAGAACTCTGTAAGCTTTTGATGGGAATTCAAATACATACAGCATTGCCTGGACTATAGGACCAGGGATGTTGATGTGGTTTTAGGATGACTGGTGGTATCTATTAACCCTCCCAAGCCCTTCTCCTACTACAGTTGCTATGATACTTCATCTGCTTCTAAAATTAGGTCATTTCTAGATGTCAATCATACTAGCCTTTTGCCATGGGTTGTGTGGGTGTGTGCACGGACATATATTCATATATATGCATACAACACAGTGTATATACTTACAAAAAACGTGTGAATATATATTTTAAATGTATGACATCATCTAAGTTCACATGATCTGTATCTGTGCTTTTATTCTGATCTGAGCACTATTACAGTTAAGAAATTAACATGGGATTGCACTCAAAATGAACCTCTCTGACTTACCTAATGCAGCATTTGAGGGAGGAACAGTTTATGGGAGGGGTGTGTAAAGATTGACAGGTACAGGATTCCATGTATTGTGATTCACTGAATTAGGGAAGACATTTTTAAGCAAGGGGGTTATTAAATTACAGGTGGAGAGAGGATGTACTGCATACATTTAGGAAAAATCTAATAGTTTTAATGGTAAAACTGTGCTCCTTGTAATTACATCTCAGGTTGAATACAGAATTTTGAAACTATTGCTGCATTGTAAATAGTCTTCCTCCGTTGTCTTTTCAGCCAAACATGGAGGTTCTCAGTTTTAAATAGAGATAGCAGATTCTGTTTTTAATGACTTACAGACTTATCTGAATTGGGCACGAGCCACTGTCTTGAAACTTGGAGAAGAAATATTGTATCAAGCCTGTCCTTGGAATAACAATATATCTGGAAGTTTCTTTTCTGTGCTATATATTTTTTAAAGATTCCAGTGTTAAGAAAGGTATATGTGACCTGCATAAATTTCAGAGAAATGACCTGTGACCCCTTCATCTAGGACCTATAGAAAAGCAGAGGGAGAGAGTGAGAGAGAGACAGAGACAGAGAGGGAGAGAGAGGAGAGAGAGAAAACCCGGTTTGCTTAAAATCATTGTTTCATTTATTATCTTTTTAACAAGGAATGTTGAAGATGTTACTTGGGTGATTGAAAACTGTGGGCCCAGAAGATTCCACGAGCAGAATAAAGTAGTAGGAAACCAGGTTGCCTGCCTTCCAGATCAGTGGCTAGACTGCTTGTGGCATTGCTAACCCATTTAGTGGTATTTCTTGCTAAAGAGCTATTAATAACATCTAAATTTATTATATTTATTGAGTAGAAATTAATAAATTGTTGGGCCTGTCTCTAGGAGACACTCACTTAAGGGTCCCTGGAAACTGATTACACTAGAACACAAATGTATGGCTTCCAGCAATACTTTCTGAATGAGGGTACAAGCCAAAAAAACTTAACTGTTTCCTTAAATAATAGAAATACAGACTTTTGAGGAAACTTTTGAAGAATACATGTCCTTTAACTTAGGATTTTAAGGTAAACGTGTCCATAATTCATGGGAATAGTGTCTCTGGGAACAAATACCTTACAAATGTTATGTATTTTCCAGGAGTAGAAATCATTACTTTCATTTTGACACCCTCTATGAATTCCTTAGCTGGACAAGTTATGGAATGCTCACTTGAAGACAGTTGTTGAGTATATTATAAGATTTGCCTTTTGTATTCATTTTCTTGTTTTGGTTTTTATGTTTTGAAATGGGATTCTATGGAGCCCAAGCTGGTTTCAAACTAACTAGTAGCAAGACAGGCCTTGAATTCCTGACCCTCCCGCCTCTCTACCTTCCACATACTGGGGTAACAGGCATGTAACACTGTGCTTCCCTCACGGAGTTTAATTGAGCATCTATAGCACTACATTTTGGGATAATAGATTTCTAATAGAGAGCTACAAATTTGCATTACAATTATCTCCCTTAACCTTAAATGCATGATGAACCTCCAAAGAGACTGCAGAAGATGGGAGAAACCATCAGTCTTCTAACTATTTAGGAGCTGTCAGGAAGCACTGCCCAGCTCTTTAGAAATGACTAATTTTGAAGCTGGTGGGATGAATCTTTGCAAGATGAGTGTTTTGTGAGACGAGTAAACAGCTCTTGAATAAAAGCACTAGAAGAATGACACTTGGACTTGGAGCCTAATTTCCCATGATCCCAGGGATTAAGATAGATTGTCAAAATACAAGTAAATCTCATTCTATCACACATCAGGCCCAGAGCCTAGATATCATAACTGAAGTAAAAAATGCATGTGAAGGAGCCAGTATTTGGGAAGGGGTATGAAAGTCTTTTGATGGTGGGGACAAAGCTCTCATTCTTCAAGACATCTTCGGCTTTAGATTGCTATTTACAATACCCATGGGTTACAAAATAACTTAATTGGGAAATTTTTAACTTGGACCAGAGAGTGTTTAAAATCAGCTTAGATGCAATTCTGGCATGAAAATAACAAAGTTTGATTGATTGGGAACAAAGTAGACCTTAAAAGATAAGATTGACGTGGTTCAAATATCACTAGTGTTATAGTGGATAACTTTGATTCTGCTTGCTCTCTCATTCCACATTTTTAATGTGATAAAAACCATGTAGACACAATATTAGCACACATATATTCACTTACAATAGAAAACTAAAACACCTATTTCTTAGCTATAAAATATACTCTGCTTAAAGCATCAGGCCTGTGTGAAGGTGGGTGCATTGTGTTGATTCATTTCCTCTTTTACGATTGCCTTTGGCCTGAAGTGTATTCTCTCACTGCTAGTCTGGACAGGATCTAATTCATTAATTCATACTGTTCCCCCTAATCCATATCTTCCCAAGTTTCTAGAAAGGGTTTGTGTTTCACAGGTTCTCTGAAATCAATCTGCAGCACTGGTCATGGGTAGGGGCAGTGGAGTGCTCTTAATTTTGTATAGGAAATACGACCATTATTTATGAAGTCTTAAGAAGAGGATGCACCTTCTTGGTCAGTCTTCATTGGTTTTGATTTAGAAAGAAGCCAGTGAGCCAGTGCCATGGCTCAACCCAGTGACCTGGCTTCAATTCCTGGCATCCACATGACAGAAGGGTTAGAAGGAGAGGATAGACTCACTCTTACATGTTGCCCTTTAATATCTATAACATAATATGTACCATGTATACATACTACATATATACATACACACAAAAAAACAAGATGGCTTCTAGAATAGCACCCTACTTTCTGGATAAGTTGGATAATTCAGCTTTTTTGTTTTGGTGTTCAATATGAGAAAAAGGTCAGCTGTGGAAAGACTCTCACACAAGCATGTATCCAAGGCAGTCTTATTTTAAACCAAACGTAGACCAAAATTTTCGTGTATTTTAATTGTCAAAGCCCTCTCCAAGTGATAGGTCTATGTTGGTAATTGCAGCTGGGAACATAGGTCCGTAGCATTTCTGTGTTCCTCATCATTTCTTTCAAGTTTATGTAGCTTATTTGATCTTCCTGTGAAATATTAAGGTTTTTTACATGAACATTAATATCAGAAAGAAAAATAACATCATAATATTTCTGCATTTCCATGTTCCAAAATAGTAACTGTGAATTTTCCCTCCTTTTCTGGATTGGATAGAGATAGTCTCCTCAAAAACTGCTCTAAAACCTGCCAAGTGAGATGAGCTAGCAAATCTTCACTCCCCAGTCAGTTATGATCCACAAATTGATGCAAAGAAAAAGTCAAGAGAGAAGGGGATAGATTAGTCATAGAGACAGGGTTAAATGAGGACACTTCTGCAACACCAGGTATGGAGCACATAACCTCCTGTTAGTAACTTCTCCTCTGAGGCACAAACTCTTTCTCCATGAGTAAATCACTCCTACATTTTTATATTAGGAAAGAAATTAGCTCAGAGATTTGTAATAGTAGCATTGTTGATGATGGTGGTGACAATGATCTTAGTCACAATGATAATAAAGTATAGTGAATTTCAAGTGCTCTTTGTGTGGCGGAAACTCTGGACACGTTATCACTGGTCCTCAGAGCCACTGCATCTAGGAAGTAGTTTGTCCTTTTGTGTTGTTTTGTTTTTGTTTTTCTTTCGTTACATGACAGAGTCTCAAGACCCAGGTTTGCCTCAAACTTGGACCCTCTGGCCTTAGCCTCCCAAGTTCTGGAATTATGCCTAGCCTTAAGCAATGCATTATTATCTTTGCCTTTTAAACTAGAAAACTGTGGCTTAGAAAGATAAGTATCTTACCAGAGACATATTACAATTAATAGAAGAAGCAAAGATTTGCTCACACACTGTGATTGCACAGTGTGCATCTTGCATGCTTCCAATAACAATGCTGGATTTAGTGATGAAGTAGAACAGAGACCAGTCTCTCCTTCTCATGGCCAACTTCCTAGTATTGGGTGTCATGTGCTTAGATATGTCTGCTTGGAATTTTGTCAGAGCTGAAGAATACAGTATTTCTGTGCATGTAGCTTCTTAATTTGGCTTTGTTGGTACAATCCTGTTCGGTGGTAAGTGATTTCCTGCTGGCATGGATTTTTTGAAACTATGATGGTTGTTCATGAATCATTTCTTTTGTCAGGAACAAATGGCATTCATCAGGTGCCTGTGGAAATTAATGAGGAGCTGTGCACT